GCCGAAGTCACTACTCCTAGTCCAGCAGACATAGGTAAACGCTCTCGTAGAGAGGGCACTCCCCTTCTCTTTTCACTTTCAGAATCGTCTTCCCCTTCCACACCATCTGAATCTTCACCACGTGATCCAGGATCCGCCAACCTTTCTTCCTTCTGTGCCTTTTTGGACCAGCAAACCACCCCTCAGTCTCCATCCAAGTCGAGATGTACATCCAGACCTTCCCCCCCTCGAACGAGATCCCAGTCCGTTCCCAATGCTACAATTCTAACAACTACCAAACCATACCAATCACACCGTCGACGACCATTATATCCGCTACCAAACCGTATTATCACCAAACCAAGGACAAATCATTATGGAAGCTACCTGCTCTTAAAAAATCTACCTTGATTATTGGATCATCTAACCTGAATCGAATTACCAAAACCAGTTCAGACATTGAAATACATTCTTACCCCGGTGCCCAAATCCATCACATACAGTCAATCCTGGAATCATACGACCATGATCCCAAACCTACTACCATTATTCTTCATGTAGGCCTCAACAACCGTGATCAGCTACCAAAGACCTCCTTAAACCAAGCCCAGAAATTAATCGCCACAGCCAACAAAACCTTCCCAAACTCCAAGATCCTCTTCACATGTATACCCATTTCAAATAAAATTTCGAAGAAAGCACAACAGAACCTCAGCACTCTCAACAACATGATGATGGAGTCCAGTATCAACAGCGCAACAATCTTACCACCCCACGAAGAAGAATTCGAACCAGTTGATAATCTTCATTGGTCTCCAGAAACAGCAAACAGCATTTATTTGTTTTGGATACACCAGCTTCAAGCATCGAGTAAGTCTTTAAACTAATTACTGGGGATAAAAATACTGAGAGGCCACCGCTAGGCCAAACTGTAGTTAACTTGAGCCGCAAAATTCTCACACCCCTTCAGCATTCAATCTTAGACCTTGGACTTAAATTTATTCCCACACCAAAGATAGCTAACTTGAATTATCTCCGACCATCCATTGAACGATTTCAACGAAATCTTAGCTGCACATATTGTTTTCGAAACCACCCCCTAGAACAATTGCTAGAACAATGTTTATTCCTAAATCCACGTGGACACCCCCTCAGGCCGCCATCCATCCTGAAATATTGAAAGCATTTGCGAGTATGAATAGCCAAATAGTGAACCTTTCCATAACACACGAAAAGCCTAATCTGACACGAGTGGAACGTGAAGCGTTAAACTTACTTAAGAAAGACGATAGCATTATTATTAAAAAGGGTGACAGAGGTTCATGTTGTGTCATTCTGAATAGGGAGGATTACGTTTCAGAAGCAGAGAATCAACTGAATAATCCTAAACACTATGCCATTTTACCGAAACCAATTTTCAAAGAAACTGCTAACATGATTAACAATATTAGTTAATTTAATGCCGATTTAGTCAAAACTAGTTATCTCAAACAGAAACAATATGACTATCTGTCTGCCAAACCTGATTGTCGCGAGAGACATTTGTACACTTTGCCTAAAATCCATAAGAATCCAACCAAGGAGTGGTTTATCTCCAATAAAATCCCTAAAGGCCGCCCGATTATATCTGACTGTGGTAGTGAGTCATATGCAGTGTCAGAATACATTGATCATTTCTTACTACCTCTAGCATGTCAACATCGCGCCTACCTTAAAGACACAATAGAATCTATTAATTGTCAATAGAATAAAAAATCTTCGAGATCCCTCTAATGCTATTTTAATTTCTATCGACGTTTCTTCTATGTATACCAATATCGATAACACTACTGGTTTAACGGCAGTTCGTAAAGCTTTTAATAGAAACCCAGATCCAAACAGATCCGACGATGCAATTCTACAGCTTTTAGAGATTTGTCTTAGTCGAAACGATTTCACATTTAATGGTAAAACATATTTACAAACTTCAGGGACAACAATGGGCAAACGATTCGCCCCTTCGTACGCAAACCTTTTCATGACAGAGTGGGAACGGGAGGTGTTGCCCATC